AGGAAATCCCAACGCGGACTCCTGGCTCTTTGGGATGCGCTTGCTGAAGCACAGGGTCAAATACTACGACTTTTACTGGATGGGAGGCCTTCCCGATGACGTACCCATCCCCGCCAATCCCTACGACCCCACTGTAGACGTCCACCAGCTATTCGCTGTGTGTACGACTGCAAGATCGTACCTCTTCAAGCAACGGTTGACACAAGCGCAGTACGAATTTATGGTGGCGTTGTGGGGCGTGCCGGAGTGGTACAGGGATTATCTACCGAAGCACGAGTTCTGCCTCATGTACCCTCACCTGCTAAAGGAGACGATATAAGTTTCTCTTGTTGTCTGTATTTTGCTATGCGTCTATGCACCCCGTTGTTGTGTCTGCTTGTAACAGTATATTGAACGCTGCTGGGGGTGTAAATTCGTTGACGTCTCGTGAACGGAACTTGGATAAGTTGGGCAGTGTTCAGAACTGTAGATTCTCTTTGCAGTTTACCGCGTCGCTAATCTGTTGTGGGCCACCAGATTGCTTGGTGCATGACAAAGTTGCACAACGTCACCCCTTGGTCGACGTAGACAGCAACTTTCTGCCACTGATGCGTGACATTTGATCGAGAGACGATGTCCAAACCTGCGGTTGCGGGAACACAACGGTAACGTTCACAAGTTCGCAAGTCACGAAAAGCATTTCATTCGTACTATGATACCATTTAATACGAAGAGTACAGCGATAATCGACGAGCTGTAACTGCAGTTGGTATAATTATCTGGACCCTGGTTCATCAGATTTGGCATCCAAGGGGGAAATAGCGAGGATGCGTACGGAGAGGGCGTATCTTCGTACACCTTACTCTCTCTTCGGTGGCTCAGCGCAGTTGCACGCCGGGTAGCTGCAAGAGCCGCCGTTGGCCTGGACGTTAGCGCACTTCACGGTGTCCTGAGCGCAGCGGCGGTATGAGTGATCTGCCCTGCTAAAAGATGAGGGACATGGGACTCACAGACATGTTGATTGAGTGGATGATGTGAAGTCGAGGACTGGGGGGGAAGGAGAGGCTAGAGAGAGATTATATAGAGGTCTCCGAGGCGAAGCACATATCGCGTGGACCTCGAAGCTGGATAATGTGCGTGTGTTGATTGGCTTACGGCTCTCCATTTTGAGAAATACAATGCGCGAGATTGGGTCAGTTGGATGCTGTGCTGCCCGAGTCAGATAGTTCTGGCAGTGTTCTAGTGGATATCAGCACGGCCAATAGCATCTTTCCGTTCAGCCAACTAGATGAACTGTGTGTGTCCCAACTATTTTCTGGTGATGCTGAACACATGATGTGTCGCTATTGAGTGCGCGGGTCTGTATTCTGATCTTACAGATCAACAGATGGGATGGGGCAACATGGAACATGACGACGAGTGCGACTTGCATCAAGGGAAACGAGAAAGGTTTGCTGTCCTACAGGAAGGTGTGAACTGTTTCTCCTCGCGCACATGAACAGTTTGAGCTCCGCACCACTCTAAAGCCCAGCTTAACATCGCGCTACTGTGCAACGAATGGTCCTTGTCATTGTTCGAAGGCAAGCCTTTATGAACTCATTTTTGAACTAATGACAGCGACAGCTAGAAATCGTACGGACACGATTATCGACGCGAGTCGAGAAATGAGGCTCAAAACCCCGATAGAGAGAATCTCCTGCATAGTTTGTTAGAGTGCTACTGCAAGGTAGCCCAAGTCTTTCTGCGAGTTGGCCATCGCCACGCGACTGATAGACGCCCTGGCGGGGCGCGAGAATCGGTTACGTAAGCCAAGAGCGTGGTTGGACCTAACCTGAGGTGACGCGTGTGGCCTCTGTCGACGTCATGGCCACCAGGAGCGCGTCATGTTGTACAAGCGGGGCGACCCACCTCCTCAACGCCGCCCAGCCCTCACTATATATTCTTGCCATTGCCTTTTCTTCCAACTTGTTTCTCTTTCACAACCCGCCCCCTCACGACTTTACGAACGCATACAATGAGACTCACAACCAATTTCCTACTTCTTGCTGTCTCTCTCGGTGCCGTACAGGCATCGTGGTTTGGTCAAGACAAGAAGAAAGAGCCAGGTCAGTGATGCAGACACGACCCTGACCGACTGGAGCTGAACTCGGATGCAGAATATCACGCATGGACATCCTCCGAGCTCACGGACTGGCTCGCATCCCGGCAGGTACCCATCCCTACGGCCACCCCAGGGCCTTCTCTCGCAGAGCTCCACTCCCTCGTCTCAGCACACTGGGACTCGGCCACATCCACCGCGAGTGCTTGGTCTGCCGAGCAGACACAATGGGCCGCAGACCAAGCCGGCTCCGCGCATCAAGCATTCTTCGACACCTACAGCAAGCTCAAACAGGACACGTTCGACACATGGGATGAGTCGCGCCTGCGCGAGTTCCTCCTTGAACAAGGCGTCGTCAGCCCTAGTGGCCCGCGCGAGCAGCTCGCCATGCTTGCCAAGCAGAAGTGGACGCAAGCGAGCGGCGCGGCTTATGCGTATAGCCAGAGTGCAAGCTCGCTTGCTGGCGACGCGAGCCAGAGCGCCAGCAGTCTTGGTTCCAGCGCGAGCAGGGCGGCCAGCACGGCCATATACGGCGACTCCGTGCACCAGGCAAGCAAGAGCGCTGTCAGCCTAGGCACAAAGGCGAGCAAGAGCGCGTCGAGCGCCGTGAGTGGGGCGACAGAGACCGTAGCTCAAACATTGGACGACTCGAAAGACTATATTTACTCAACTTGGGACGACAACTCGCTGCGAGGGTATCTAGAGTCCAAAGGTGTGCTTCAGCCGGAGCAAGTGGCGTCGCGGAACCAGCTGCTGCAGTGGATGCGCGACGCATACGCTGCCGCGGCTAACCCGATCTGGGAGGCATGGAGTGACTCGTATATTGTATGTACTGCTTTCGCGTTTTCGCGCCTGTACTTCCACGTCTTATTCCTTTTCCACACAGCACGATTGGCTTCTCAGACATGGGATCATTCGATCCGGAGCGCAGAAGAAGCGCGACGAGTACCTCTCACTGATGAAGGAGTACTACTACGGCCCGCAGGTAACAAATCCGTGTCTCCTTGCGAATGCAGACTCTCACAGCCGCTGCTATTTGCAGGAGACAATACATTCGTCCTGGGACGACTCGCACATGAAGCAGTGGCTCGTGGAACATGCCATTATCAAGAGTGATGCACAGCTAAAGAGGCAGAAGCTCGAGAAGTTGCTTGCGTGAGTCCCATCCATTATGTTCACAGAGGGCCTCGCGTACTAATGGGTTTACCTGTGTAGTGACAATTATGCGAATGCACAAGACACAATCTGGGGTGCATGGGATGACTCGGCCATGAAGGCATGGCTCGTCGAGCACGGCTACATCCGTAGCGACGCGCAAAAGACGCATGATGAGCTTTTGAAGCTGATGCAGGACAAGTGCGCACACTTTTCTGATCCTCATCTCCTATCCAATGCGCTGATAGTTGTCGTCAGATACTCTGAGTACAACGCACGTACGGCACCGTACCTTGTCTGGCCCGATGCACGTCTGCGGGCATACCTTCGCGAACACAGCCTGTCAGAGGACGCGCTCCCAACGAGCCGTCCGGGTCTGCTGCAAGAGGTGCGCATCCGCTACGTACAGACTACTGGGCGCGCGGAGGCGCTCTTCGGCCGTGTCAAGGACGTGATCAACGGCGGTGTCGAGGCTGCAGAGGATAGGCTCGGAAAGGTTGGTTTTCTCTCCCTGACATACGTGGGCGAGGCCGTGCTAATATCGTGGTGGCGCAGGTCCTCGATGTCTTGACAGGAAGCGCGGAGCACGCGAGAGAGAGGACAGGCGAGGGGATGCAGGAGGGCGGGCAGAGGCTGAAGGACGCGGGCGCGAAAGTGTCGAAGACTGAGCTGTGAACGTTTGCACGCTGGAAACCTACGCTGAAACTAGTTTTGTACGATAACACGACGCAATGTTGGTTCGACAATTTCTTGTAATTGTAGTGTATATACGAATAGCTTTTCTGCATAATTTTCCAACAGCCTCACAAGGTTCGTAGCTAAGAACGCGTGGCATTAGGCGTGCAATGGGGCTTTGTATTATCAAAGTGTGTCGATATACATTGAACAATGCATGATCTCAAGCAGTGCAACATTCCTATAATCAACGCAGTAAAAACTAACTAACTATGTACATTGGCCGAGGCAATACCATAACGGTGCCGACTACGATGTCACGGCTTACACTGCGATTTGTGTATCTTCCAGTGCTTCTTTTGGCATGCCGCGGAACAATAGCGCACCTTCTTGCATCCGCCACAAGCTCTGATCCTGGGCTTGCCCTTGCCTCTGCACACAAAGCACCTGTGAGCGTCAGGATCACGGCCAATCGTCTCAAGGTAGGAGACAGCGAATAGCGGGGAAATAGCAATCCGGGTGACATGGGGTGCAAATGGTCTCCATATGTCAACCGTCTGCATCCTTTCGGTATCTTGCCCTCTGCCGCAGCTGCATAGGGGATCTACTTCCATGTCCTCTGTCAATGGAATTTTTCCTTGCGATCTGTACTCGCAGTTAGGACCATGAGTCCACGATGTGCGGCATCGTTCAGCAAGTGCAGGAAATAGCTGCTTCCATGCTCGCATCTCATCCCCGAATACAGTCACATCGACCATTCTTCCAGGAGCGATCAATTTGCAGAATGGTTGCTCCAAACGACGAAGGAGGTCGATGGTCAGAGGCAGCACAAAGCCGTCGCACACGACAGTGTGGCGATGCATATCGTATCTGATAGTGTCGACGAAAATGACCGTGTCGCTGTTTCTCGTGGTATGATCGCGCAAAGCAAACAGGCGACAAGGGGGGCCCACTTGGATACCAGATGCTCGAACAAGGATGGCATGGATTGTGTCCTTAACATACATCAGTATATCCTCCTTATGCTTCTTGCGCAGAGACCGTTCCCTTTTGGACATCATTGAGCCAATGTGTGGGTTCAACCAGTCTGCCAGTTTCGAGGCTTTGGTGTCGAGGACCGGGAGGGTGGATAGATTCACCCGGTGAATGCTCCAGAGGTCCAGAGTGCCTTCTATCGCTGCTACAGTAAACGGATTGAGCTTCATGCCTTCTGGTTGAAACGGTCCGTAAATTGGCACGACAACCTAGAAATATGACATTAGCGATCGGATATATCATGATGGACGACCACACGAATATCAGGTACTGCAAGACATACCTCGATGTACAACGACTTGCGTGCCAGACGAAGCTTATTCTGGCCGCCGATGACGGGGAATGGGTACGTGACGTCTTGCACCCGTCCATCCAGGGTGAGCCTGATTGTAGAAGGAGACACCTGCTTGACGCTTGGCAGAGCACCTGCTGCGAATGCACGCTTTGCGTCTTCGTTCTCGACGGATATACGTGATGTCAGTGCCGAAACCAGCTCACACTGCTCGTCCAGTTCGACGACAACGCTATGAGATTGTCCAAGCTCTTCTCGAATGGTAGCTCCCGGTGACCGAAGAACGCCCGATGCGCCAGCCTGGTTCCTCGTAGGTAGAGGATGCTCAGGGAGAACAAAGACCGCGGTTTCGTCCATTAATTTAGCTTCATGAACAATGAGCGCAACGCCGAGTTTATCAGTCAGCAGCACTGAGGCGTGCGTGGAGCGAACCGAGACTGTCACTCGCAGTCGATGAGCGGGCTCGATGTCCGTAAGATACCGTGATGCCATGGTAAATGATGCTACGAGGGATGATGTGCCACTCCATCCTTCTGGGTCCGCCTCGAACGTGACCCAAGGGTGTGCCTTCGTCCCCATTTTTATAGCGCGCCCGAAGGCTACATGGACAGAAGAGAAGATGTTGTGCGACCAATCGCCTCGGATATCGCATTGTAGCAAAGGGGTGGCGATTTCATCGGAAGCATCGTCGAGGACAGTTAATTTGTCACGTGGGATTACGAGGATGACTCGGACTAGAGAAGTGACAGAGTGCCAGTCCGCGAAGCGGCCGATCCGGGGCGCTTCATCGACCAGAAGGGGATGAGTATACATCCCGTGGCGATGCAGATGCGAATGGAAATCTTGCAGATTGCAGGAATCCATCTCGAGTGTTTGATCCTCTCCTTGTAGGTCCATGAAACGGTCCATCACCTCTATCCATCTCTCGCGAGAGATGGAGACGATCCCTCACGAGCTTCAAGAACAATACGAAGCTCTCGCGTGTATAGTGAATCATGTTAGACCTCGAGATGGCTTTCATAATGTTTCCCTGGTTAAGCCGCCAGAAGTGTCTTGCGTCTTCCTGCTCAAACAGGTCGTGGTACATGTCGTATAGGAGCGTACCAAGCTGAATGCTATCAAACGTGGGCGGCAGGCAACCTCCTCCACCGCGGAAAGCATACGCGTCTCCAGATACGGGACGCTTCCAAGTGGTCACCTGTTGGAATTGACTAGATTCTCTCTTTTGAGAAAGGTACAGCATTAGCTCGTGCGTGTTCGATCGAGAGGTGAAGCTTGATACGTAGTCGATTGGCGCGACACCCAGGAGCAAGGACATGACAGTAAGGTTCGCATACAGTCGCTGGGAGAACTCCCTTGTCGCATCCTCTCCGCGTGCCAGTAATGACTCCGTGTACAATGCAATAAGTCGCGGGGGTGGTGCAAGGAGGGGGGTAGCAGCGATGACAACATTCAGGAGCCCGATATGGTCGTCCAGGTTCGACGTATCAACGACGTTGAAGCGGGCGGGGGCCGCTCCGGACACGTACTCTGCCTGATTGAACAGAATCAGCTGCGTGTTCCACTGAGCGACATATACTGTGGTTTCGAGCGTCCCAGTCTCGACGAAGTCGTGTAGGGCGCGACATGCGGCCATGGCTTCGGCAAGAAAGAAGCGGACGGTAAGAACGCGCGAGGCATCGGAGACAGCAGATGAGAAAGCCGTGCACCAGTCGCTGAATTCGGCTTTGGCGGCTTTGACAACGTCAGAGACGGTGATTGGCCCTCGTGCGTTGCCGAAGAGAGCTACGAGATGGAAGCTCTCCATCGGATCCGTACCGTAGTGCACCGCGAAGCCCTCGCCGGCAAACGAATAAGCAAATGTAGGATTGAGAAACTTTGCGGCGTTAATGAGACTTTGATCTGAGAATGTGGTACCCGTCTTCCAGTAGGAGTCGTATTGTCGCGACGTGACCTCCACCGCTTGGAAAATAAGGGGACCGGCGCCGCGTGCTGTGCTTATGTTGCGCCCGGGACGTTGCGCCTTGGATTTGGCAATCTGTGTGAACTTGTCCCGAATCGGTTTGACCCGCGAGAACGGCAGGTTGGGCATGTCGACGTAGAGTGTCCAGTGGCGCCGCAGCTCGGATAGGGTGTATTCCGTACTCATCCCAATGAACTGACCATACGGCGATTTCATCCAGACAGTGAGGCTATCCGACAGTTGGATGAGCTTTTTTGCATTGGTCTACCAGGATCTTACGCGAGGCATCATCGTTTTAAACGTGGAAGAAGATATTCCACATGCTGTTCGCATAAAGCTGGTTGTCCGCAACAAGCGTCAACAAGAGTACATTACGCGCTGAGCTATCGATGAGAGGTAGTTACGTCGCAGCAGGTTCCCACTCACCTAGAACTGCCGGCTCGATATCGCAGCACGTAAAATCGAGCGCACGGCTCTCTACGGGTTATGTCAGTTACATCTGGGTCAATGCTTCTTAAAGTGCAATTGTACACACCTTTCTGAGGCTCCGAGAAAATAGTGAAAAGAACACTTCGTGGGTCACCGCAGCCCAACAGGAGTACATTTGCGGGCTCCTCTGGCGGGATGTCCCTCGTCAGGCATACCGCAGGTGTATTCCCAAGGAGATAAAAGAAATACTTCCCCTGTTGGAACAATGGTGCGAACGGTGCGGGGGCGCGTTTGTCCACGAGCATAGCGATGCCCATAAGGGACAATCGCGTGCGGTACGTACATCGCGTGGGGTGGTTATATGCTACGATAGGGGCCTCCGGCCCCCGGCTACTCGCGCGCCCGAGCTTTCGAGCTCGTTCCTGACCACGCGGGGCTGCGTGTTTCAACATCCCCGGGTAGACGAGCGTATGTGCCATGCCTGAACGGAACGGGGTGATAGGCGTGTGACTTGTAGCAAAGATTGAGACCGAGTGGGCTACATCGAGATTCAAGGCAGGCTCCTAAAACCAGCCGTCCGGTGAGTTCACGCTCCTACATACGAGACTCACTGGGGGCAATCCAAGATTTCCGCTCTCCGAATATTGTCCAGAGATTCAACGAAGTGTAGGAAATAAATATTGAATACCTGACTTCCGAATATCAAAAAAAAAGGCAATAAATGAGTGCCTCATATTCGGAGCTCCGGATATGGCAGCAAATATATCACATAATTGTGAATATGAGCCACGATATTCGTTAAATATTTTGCATCAACACATTGTACTAATAAATATGATAAACAGGGAATATTCATGGACCAGTTACATTGTGAAAAATTGTCAGTACCTACAGCACACATATTCCCCAGATATGCAATCAACAATTGAAGCTTCGGATGGTGTGAGGCATAGAAACCATATTCCATGCCAATCTGCCAACCAGAAATGGCATATATCGAGTGATTGATCTGTTTCAGCCAATATTTGAAGGATATCCGTGCTCTGAGTGTAAGTAATAACTTACAATGTATTTGGTCCGCAATTATTCCTCAGTTACTGTATTTATCGGTACAATGTTTTGGTGCAGAACATTCGACGGATATTATAGTGTATAATCGAGTGACAATTATGTAATATATTCGCTCCCATATCCGGGGCTCCGAATATACAGCGTTTATTGTGAGAATGACGCCGGAAAGACCGCCGGCAGACAACGTCCTCGATGGACAGGGATCAATTGTCGCGACTTGAGGTCAAGCGACTAGAGAAAACTGGAAGGCTGGGGGCGTCCGACTAATTCTCACCAAAGCGATGGTGAGCGAGGCTCAAACCTAAGGCTAGGGACAAGAAAATGTATTAGTTAGTAATGTAAGAAAGGATACAAGTGGAGGCTTACTGACCTAGGGACAAGAGGTCGAAACTGAGGTCCCTAGGGCAGCAGAGGCCGGCTTATATACATGGGGAGATTAGGGCAGGCTGTGCACGTTGGTCCGTGCGCAGCTGGTCTGTGCACAGCATGCCGACGCGGCCCCGGGGGCCGGTGAGTCAGAGCGGCTGTGTCAGCGGGGCCCGAGCTGTGCCGTGCACTGCCGCCCCATCTAATCTAATCGTACAGTAGATAACGATGCGTCCATATCAGGCAGGTAGTACAGAGGTCGCGGGTTCAAGCCCGCGAAAAGGAAAAATTAAAAACGGCTAGGCGCCGTACCAAGTCGTGACATT